TTTAAAAAATGGAAAATATTTTATAAATGTGCCTTTAAAATAGCCCAAACATCACTATCATAAACTCTTTCCAGATTCTATCATTAATATGTTTTTGCTTGTTTCATACTAACGGTCAACTGATTTAGTTGTTAGTTATCTGGAAGTTGATCACATTGAAATTAGATGTGCCAACTATGTTTCTAAGGCTTAATCTCATTAAAACTTACAAGTTGCAAAACAGTGTACTTCAACAGCTATTTCCTCTGTTAATAAGATAATAAAATTGTGTCAAAATATGTGCAAAAAACATGTAATTTACTTTTAATAAATGAATAGGTAATCTAAAAATATGAATATCTAATATTTTCAGGACAAGGTGGCTAGGCCTAATATTAGGCTTGAGATTTTACCTTTTAGGTCCAATTTCCTATATAGAAATTCTTTGATCTTTTAAGTTCTGTCTATAAATTGGTCTTCCCTATCTGTTAAAATATTTGAAACAGAGAAAATTCATTTCATAAAGTTTATAAATTTTTGTGTGTAAATACACACACACCTGCATTATTGGTAATACTTATGGCCACCACAGACAAGTAAACATTTCTGAAGATATAATACCTTATTTGTATGGTGGCTGTTTCCAGAAACAAGGAAAGATGAGTTCTGGAGTATACCTGGCTTCTTCATTTGAAAAGCATTTCAACTTTTACCAACTAGAAGAGAGACTGTTAGTGCGAGTTTGTCATGTGACTTTGCAACATGCCAACTTCAACAGAAGATGGATTGCTTTGGAATTTTGCTGCAGATTAATGTTATTGAAAAGTATGCTGATAGTATTTCCTGATAATTTTTAAAGAACCATGTTTGAGGAAACACATCTGTGGAAACATGTTTCGTTGTGTATGCTGTTTTTTAGTATAAATGTTTCTGTTGAATTGTTAAAAGTAAAGTAGTGTTGTTTATTATTATAAGGAAGTGATAAATTATTTGAAGAATTTACACAGGTGCATTTAACAATATATTAGAAATATAAACCTGTTAAAACTATTCAATAATAAAATTAAAAACTCACAATAAATCCCTGCCATGGCTAAAGAATAAACCAATTTTGATCAACAATACATATATGACTAGATTAGTAATGATAACTATTATATGTCACATTAAAAGTTTTATATTTGGATTAAACACCAATGTATGTATATATATGTAGGTTATACAATGTTCTGAATAAGCAAAAACCAAAACCAGATGGGAGTTCAGTCAGTGATTGTACTTCATGGGCTAACCAGGGTAAGCTTCAAGGTATCATTTCATTGGCTTGTGAGAAGAAAATTGAGCAGCTAAGATGGGATGTAAAGTAATTTTAGTTGGATGTAGTGAGCTATGGTATTAACTGTGGAATTTTAATGAGATATTAGAAATTTCTGAAGAGAAAACATAAATGGCTGGAATTTGAATTCACAACTCTGTTTAATAAAAAGGTGCTTTAACCAACTAAGTGAGTGTCAAATAACATAAGTCTCACTTTTCATTCATTTGTACAGATTTCTCATGAAGAAAGATGGCAGAACTCTGTAAAGCCTCTAACCCATTTTGTACAATTTCTGTCGCAAGTGCAAAATAAGGTTTTTAACTGTAATAGTCAGAGTTGTGGGTTAGAATCCACCAGGGTTTTAATTAAGACAAACAGAGTTTCAAGTTAGAACCCACATAGTTTCACTTTTTACTTCTTCAGAATAAATTCTAACTTCAAAGAATAGGAAACATGCCAATCACAAAATTTTTCAAAGTGATTCAAGTTATAAAAAAAAAGTCATGGGTCGAAAGAGTATAACTAATCGTTAACTGTTTTCATCATGAAAGTGCTTTACAGACAATGTGATCTTGACCTATTCATATCCTTTTTGGCAAATTAATGCATTAATTTTTCATCCAACCAATAAACAAATTACCTATATGGTGCACTAAATAACATGATAATTTGTTGAGAGCTTTTTGTTTATTACTGAGCCAAAAATAAACATTTTCAAGAGCTCTTTGTTATAAAAACAACTTCATAAAGAACTTGTATTTGGTACTTATGGCAAAGCTACTAAACCATCCCTAATTATGAACTACTGACCTGAGGAAAGGTAGCCAGTCAGCAGTACCCTATCACTTACCATCAATGATGAGGGACTGACTGCCACTCTTTAATACACCCACAGCTTAATGTGATGGAGAATATTTTGTGGTATTGTACAGATCCAAACCCAATTTGCCAGCCCTGAAATCCAGATTTTTACCATAGGGCAAACACACCCCTTTCATAAAGAAACAATTTCTTTCAACACAATAAGCAAAGTTTCCTAGTTTTCCATGTTTGATTGCTGCAGCCAGCCTACCATGTAAACAACCTAATTATCAAACAGTTTCTTCACTAGTTGATGTTTATTATATTTTTTCTTTTGAAAGAATTTGTAATGAAATTCTAAACAATGAATGTTCTTCACCTTGCAAGGTTTGGATTACTTACAAGATGTTTATACAATATTATAATTGTAACATTTATTAAAATGTAAGCTTGCCATCTGTAAGTGAGTGAGAACACTGTTAAAAATAAATTATGATCAAAATAACGTTTTTTTTTATGTTAAAAGCAAAATTTTGCTCATTCTTAACAGATACTGAAACACTAGTTAAAAACACATACCATAAGTATAAACTTAAAACCTTATGCTCTTACTTATAAATAATAACACTGCAAAAAAATTACGTCAATGACATACTAAAAGACTAGGTATAGTACAAGAAAAATCCTAAAATTAGTGTACAACAGTTAAAAACTACTTGGGGATAAATATGTGTTAGTTCTCCAAAACATTTACATATGCTACATAATATTTTAATATTATGAACTAGTATGACATAACAGCAAACTAGGTAAACCAATGACAGAAAATGGTCTTGCTAAAACAACAAATTAGATTAATATTTATCAATGGATTCTTAAGTTACCCTTGAAATATACATATCTCATCTTATTCTAACATAATATTCATGATAAGTGCTTCTTTAAGGGATATGAAATACAGTAAAAAGGAGTCACCTATGAACCAAAATAAGAAAACATTTACTTAAGTGAAATTCTGTTACTGACTTATGTAAAAGATTTTGTAATCAAAAGAAATTTTGAATTCAGAGTGAAAGTGAAAATAAACCCACAACTAATACATTTACAATGTAACACAGTGGTGGTGCAAAAGAAACTACTGATCACATAAAATGTTGAAGTAAGGTAAAATTTCCCAAAGTTTTGCTAATTACAACCCTGTTTCTATGGTTTTCATGACTGCCAATATCAAAACTTTACTAAAACAATGAATATAACTGTAAATTGGATTCAAGTAGTTTTGGTTTATTGTAAAAATGGTAAATTCTTAAATTTTTCATATCTTCACAATTGTCCTAGGAGGCTAAGTAATCATAACCCACAACTGTGAAAATGACTGTAAAATTTTCTTCTTTTTTGGTTGATTACATCACTTTTTCTTATCCTTAAATTATTTGTTTTAATAAATTTCTAACACTAGTTTTGTACACAGTTACACAGAAATGTACATATTAAGGCTGTTTATTTTGGCAACTTTCCTGATCATTCTTATAAAAAAAACATACCATACATTTTTATTCAATATTTATCATTTGTATATATGTACACAAACAGTACTTTTAATTATAAAAATAAATAGTTACATTTATCAAAAACAATTTATCTTTTACAATTCATAATATATTTCTCCAACTTAAAATTCTGTGTTTTCAATATTTTAAGTATCTTTAATTACTTAAAATAACAAAAATAATTACATTCTATATACTGTTTTAATTATGCTTGCTGTTCAAAAAATCTATTATTACTATTAACATACAAAGCTGGGTTACAGTTTTATTTTAATGCTATATTTATGTGTGTGTGTGTGTATATATATGTATATATAAAACACAACATTAGAACTAACTGAATTGTTATGAACAATCCAATATACCATGTACAAGCTTAGAAACACACCAAAGTATATTCAATTAACAATTCTAAAACAATTAACTAATTAAAATGTTTTAAACACAGGCAATTGCTATGACTAAGACAAAACAGATTTTATATACATAACCAATGAGCTTACATCAAATGCTGAATCTCTATTCATATATTGCAAGCCCATTCACTTCTATTCTGTATCTAAATATTTATGCCTGTTAGTAAAAATGTCTAGTGTAATGACTTGAATAAATTAATGAGCAACCAATAATCTGAAAACAAAAACAAGTATATTAATTGTGTGTAAACAATGCCAAAAATACAAAATAAAAACAAACTTTGATTCTCTGGAGTAAATGAAGTACTAAAACAGATTGGTAGAAAAAAGAACAAGGACAAGTAGTCACCAACTGGCCTGTGAACCAATTCTATCCTAGGTGTCTATGTTTCAATTTTAGTACCTTTAAACAATTCCACTCATTCATTTTCTTACTATATAATAACAATCTTTTTCCAGAAATAAGACAAATGGGCTTATATAAATATATTAATTATGAAGCATTAACTAAGTTAACTCTGTACTAAACTTTGAAGAGAGAATTGCACTTCTCCCCATAACAAGAAATCAAGGCACAAAAAGGACATTTGTTTCCACTAAGATATGCTACCTAAAATCGAGACATTTAATAACTTGGCATAAACTAATACAAATATGAAAATCTAATAAAATATGATGAAGACTAGAAAAATCTCCAAATCTTGTATAACTTAAAACATATCTTCTAGTTTGTCAACTTATACTTGTCAGTATCCAAAAGTGTTTCAAATATTAAATTATAAATAATATTCAATGTTAAACTGGTACACAATTAAAAACATTTTATTTAGGCCTATCTATGGCCTTCAAAAAATTGACTACTCTACATGTTTCGACGCTACTCCTGAGGATGACGTCGAAACATGTAGAGTCGTCAACTTTTTGAAGGCCATAGATAGGCCTAAATAAAATGTTTTTAATTGTGTACCAGTTTAACGTTGAATATTATTTATGATTTTAACTTTATACACAAGTGCGAAAATACTATAATTGTTTCAAATATATTAATATGAAGAATAATTGACATGTAAAAGTTCAACAGATATGGGATAGATGTGGTAAAATTCAAATTGATATATGTTCAAATGTTTTAAAACTTTTTAATTTGCAGCATTTCAATTTTAGCATATACTCTACAGAGTGCAAATGCATATTATCAAAAATTAGCAACTTATATTAGAACACGAGTAATATCTTTCTGGCTATATATAATGTTTTACCGTCCTCTTACAACTTCAAACTTGAGCATATGACAAGTACCTTGTGTGCAATACTACCTAAATAACGACAACTGAGAATTTATAATGCACACTAGAGAGTCAGTTCTATGACCTATAAAAGTATAATAATTAACCTTTAGTATTAAACTGCCATTTATTATAACCAGAAATCATCAGGCAGTTACTACTGGGATTTGATTGATTCTTTTTCTTACATTAATATATACATTTCAGAGTTAAAAAGAAATTCAAAGAAACACTTACTACACCCTTAAACCATGACACGTGATTCACAGCAAGAAATATATCAAATTTTTCACCTCTTTCTAACCTATAACTCTCTCCACATATTCTACACTATATCTCCCTGAGGTAAAATAAATGTTTTGATGTGTTAAATGTTTATGTGTGTCCTAGCCTGGACATGTGCAATACCATACGTTACATGTAAGCAAATTTTATTCATACCCACAACTGTGGGGAGGACAGTCAGGCCAGTTATAGTAGAGATTTCAATTTTCAAATGTTAATTTACAATACAATGCTATACCTCTACTATAACTCTTAAGCTAAAATCTTTGTATTGAGAGTAAAAAAAGCAGAGGCATCTGTTACTTGTGGGCAAGAAAGAAATTGTGATTCTGTGCTTCTTTGTGAAGAAAGATCATGAAGGCGGTGATAAGGATCTTGTATTTGAAGATCCATATAGCCAGGATACTGGAGATTGTCCCAGTGACATCGGTACATGAGGATTTTATTGGAACTTTCAATTCACATTTCACGTAAAGAGATCTATTCCACAACAGCCATTTTGATCAGTTGAAACAGAAATCTATATTCTGAACCAACCGTAGCTGAGATCCAAAAGTGGTAAAGGATGCATAATGAACACGGTGACTTAAATTTTACTGATGATATGAGACCACTTCAAGACTGAATATTCAACAAAAGTACAATGAGAGGTATGCAGCATTTCACTAACATTAAACATGCATCATAAAGGAGTTTCACTACACTATGCCATACCATAGCAGTGTAAAACCCCCACCAGACAAAAACTTCCTTGGGATGATACTATTGCCCTAAGTAAAAATTAACTACCTCTGGGGGAGAAAAGATGACATTTAAAAGGCATTAATTTTATTTTAGTGGTTAGGTGATTTTGAATCACAATGTAAGGGGGGAAAGTGAAATCTAGAAGTCACATGAATATAATGCAAATATAACTGGTGAAAGTATGAGGAGTCTTTCACACCCCAGTTTTAAAACAGTTGTCCATACAAACCCAGCTGCTGCAGAAAGAATATAACAAGAAGACAAACCTGGTGAAATGCAGATGATTACTGGTCAAATGATGATAAAAACATTGTTTAACTTGAACCAATAATTAGGAGAAGAAACTGCCAGCTTGAACGATACTGACTGACTCCAAGTATGGAATAAATAAATAAATGTTTGCAAGCTTAGAATAGACAATGTAATACTTTGCTGCAAGAAGTGCTAAGGATTGAAGATGTCCTCTCTGATTAGTAGACATGATAAAACAATTGGGGAGAAACCACTAATCTTTTAATGAAAATTTACAAAAAAAGTTAAAGGTTAAGAAAATAGGCCAGTGCCAATCTGACATGTGATGCAATGTGAAAGACTTAAGTAGCTTTATCATAACAGTTGAGGGAAAAACAATAAACCCTGGCATAAACATCAACTGAGAAACAAAAGAAAGTGTCAAAAGCATCTTAATTCTCAACTAAGGCAGAAAGCTGCTGCTGAAAAAGATGGATATCCACTAAAGCTGCAGTAATAAGACAACAAAACTAACAATGGACAGGAAATCAAAACAAGAAAGGCTTCTGGAATCTTCTTAGCACTGTTAAAAAACTTCACTCTTCAATAATATATCTGGCGAAGAAGAGAAATGCAGACACCTGGAAGGCAAAATCAGTTGGCCAAAATGTAATGGGTGTAATAAAATAAAAACATGTTCCAAGCCTAACTTTCCACAACAAAAGAAATAAGGACCCTTACCGAATCTTAAGGAGTGAAAATCTAATCATTCACAGTCAAAAACATTCTAGAACAAAAGCACAATTGCCTTCATCAAAATCAATCTCCTCAACAAAACTGGTAAATGACCTTAGAGCCATCATAAAAAAAAAAGTTAACAGATGATTGGTGAAAAAACAATGAAGAAAACCCTATGAAACTTGAAGACTGTGAAAAAAACATCTTTATTAATCTAACTTTCAGAAGTAAAAAAAATAAAATATTCATTAATAATGTGAAAACCTGGATTAATAACTGAAAAAACATGGAAAACAATGAACGATGCAAAAACTCCCATGCAGCTAAGGCCCTGCAAAACATAGTACAGGCAAAGAAGAAAGATGTTTGAACACAAGGAGTACCATGCAAAACATTTAACCACGTATGGTATTGTACATTTCAAGTAAAGGGCTGGCAGAAAGAGTAATATGTAACAGTGGATGACAGAGTTCTAAGTATGCTGACTAGGAGAAATAAGAACCTGAAAACTGTGTAGTTTTATCATTTGGGGAAGATATAGAATATATGGAGAGAGATGTGGACTAGGAAGAAGTAAGAAAATATGGTCTATTTCTTGGATTAAGGTTATTGTAAGGGTAAAAGGTACAGTAATGTATTTGAATGAATACTGAAGAAGTAATAAAATAGGGTCTACTTCTTATATTAAGGTTATAATAGAGGTATAGAGGTACAGTACTGTATTTGAATGAATACTTATGCTGTACATTTTTATGCTTGTATTATATTTTGTATTCTTATGAGAAATTAGCTCAGTCATGTTATCAGTGTATCACCAAATAACTAAAAAATTGTTTCCAATTATTGGTTTAATCTGCATTATGATTAATTCTAGTTAATAGATACTTATTCTCTTCATTCTGTCTTTAGCTACCATTGCAAGAAATTGTTCTACCAACAAAATAGCCTCAGTGCTTTTTGATATCAGCAAGAACATTAGCATGCTTTAAACAGAACTTTAATTTACCATAATTAAGTATTTCTTCATTAAGATTAATGAGATACATCTAGCTTATCCAAGTCTATATTAGTTTTAACTGCCTAACAAAAGGATTGAAGAGTTTCAATTTCTATTAAAACTGACAGACCATTACGAAAGGATTAATTCACATTGTGCTTCAAGTATTTTTAAGAATTATCACTGCTCCATAGTAATTCTAAGCAAAAATAAACAAATAATGAAAATAAGCTATTTTTCATATGCTCCTTTTACTTAGAACATTTCAAAACATTAAATGATACTTCCACAGTATCTATATAATCTCTACATCATTTTATCAACTATTCAAATGAAGATGCTGAATCTAGAATTTGTTAATTTTAAATTTTATATGGATACTATAAATAATTCAATTATGAAGTTGTTAAGTCTCTTTTCTACTCAAAGCTAGGGCAAGTTCTAGTTCTGCTTGCTCCTGGGCTTCTGCTCTTTGCCGAGCTTCCTCCAATCGAAGACTCTCTTGAGTGACCCAAGCCAGCTGCTCCTCCTCTGTCAAAGTGTCAAGGTTGGGTTTGGATGGTTGTGAAGGTGACGTGGTTGATGGTGTTTCCACAAACTAATAGTGGCACACAAGAATTAGAAAACTACTGCTAGGAGCTTTTAAAAAACAAAGGATTTGCAAACACTGAACTACTTACATACACATATTTCTTACTATTAAATGATAAAAACAATTAAAATATTTTTATTAAAAAATGCTTACCTCAATGCTGTTTGGGCAAACCTTTCAATCGTGAATACTAACAGACTGAACTAAGTACTCATCTAAATTAATGTTAACAATTAATCTAAAAGTGAAGATTTCATATTCACATAATGACATCTAGTAGTCTTATATTGTAATTTGTCATGGTGCCGACATATGCAGCTATATGAAATATACACAAAACATGTTTACTGATAAGAGTAAAGTGCTACCTCAGATTACTTTCAGTTTCAACCTGTTCAGACTGGCAACACTAAACTAGGTGTGCATATAACACCATACAAGGAAAGTCAAAAGGATACTTACATGCATCTCCTGAATATTCATATCAATAAACAATAGTTGATTCATTATGAAGATTTCATAAATAACAATTTACTCACTAACCAAAACACAACAACAACAACAAAAATAAAGTAAACCAATATATAATTATTAATATAACCACAAATACCGGTTATAAAATTAAAAAAAAATTAACAAAGCATAAACAATAATAAATACTTCCTTAGCTTTCCAAGTAGAAATTTTTTGTTTATAATGGAGGCTGAACATAAAGAGTACAAAAATTGTTACATGCAATAAAGCAGCAAGTTAACAGTATTGACATTCCAATGTAATGATACTTAAACCTTTCACCCTATTTTCTGTCAAGGATAAATACTATTATATTATTACTATAAAGATAATCCTTAATTAAAATAAACTGTTACTTGGCTATGATCAACTCAGGTTCAAATAGAAATCTTAAAAAGAAATTGATGTTTTTAATACTTAAGAATAATATCTACGTAACAAGTTGAAAGGGGTTAAATGTTTATTAAATAGAAATATATTCTCATCATGCTCAAGCTTAATCAATGCAGTATGAAATTAAAAAAAATGGTAATAAAATTCTTCATCAATTACACTAAATTTGGCACACATACAGAAGTACCATTGTAATTCTTAAAAGCCTCTTACACTTGCTAAACTTTTCATTTATCTTGGATTTATATGCCAATTTTCAAGTTTATCCTAAATAATATTACAGGATGTTCATAAATATTGAACTACTTTCTTAATTGAATAGAACAGGAACAACACTGTATAAACAACTGCAGTTTGAGGCATGTGGGAGGCTGACATGTTAAATTTTTCCACTAGCTTAGGTGGAAGTATGTGAAGGGCAGTGTGTTTGTTTGTTTTGAATTTCGCGCAAAGCTACACGAAGGCTATCTGCGCTAGCCGTTCTTAATTTAGCAGTGTAAGACTAGAGGGAAGGCAGCTAGTCATCACCACCCACTGGCAACTCTTGAGCTACTCTTTTACCAACGAATAGTAGGATTGACCGTCACATTATAACGCCCCACGGCTGAAAGGGCGAGCATGTTTGGTAGGATAGGGATTTGAACCCGCGACCCTCAGATCGCGAGTTGAGCGCTCTAACCACCTGGCCATGCCGGGCAGTGTGTATAAGACAAAGTAAAGGTACTGGTTAAGGGAGTGTTGCAAGTCTAAATAACCAATGAAATTGCAATGATTACTCTGAAAATGCTGGCAGGTACATCAATCATAGCCTGGATATCTTTCGAGTCAGGAACAATGCCAATGTTGAGGCATACTAACAGTGACTCTGGCCATTGAGAAACTTCAAGTGTTAGCCTCCATTATACAAAAATTCTTTATGTTATATTCAATTAATAAAGTGGTTCAGTAATGTATGGTTTACTCTGTACATAAATCAAATAAGAGAAAAGTACACTTCTGTCTTGATGAGATGTTTCAGACTTAATACTAGGGGATTTTTACATTTCTTGCTCTTGTAACAAATGTATACTCATAAGTGGAAGCCCTGCATCAGTTTGAAATATCCCATACCAAAGCCACTTATTATTTATATCATATTAATTATGTTCTGTAGAAAGTTGTTTGGAAATTCCCATCCTTCAACTCACTTCTTTTCACTTTTACTTTTTCTCACATATACATCATAGGATGAGTTACAAAATTAATTTGTGGTCACCTAGTTTCTTGCATTTTGTTGGTTTCTTCTTCTAATAACTATAATATATTTTTCTTAAAACTGGTCATATATGTTAACACTATCATTCCATAGTAAACTAAACAATGGGGCTAACAAGTACTTTCCACATTCATAATATTTTGCAAGCTAATGGAATAATTTATTTTTACATGTAATCACTTTGCACATCTAAAAATATTAATTGAAATTGGCATCCTGATGTCACATAAAAAAAGATAAAACAGAATTGCAAAAAGTGCTGATGCACACAATTATACAGACTGTAACAGAATTAACACACATTATCTTTTATTTTCTAAGTCCTCACTTCATACATTCTGAGTTACATTAAATGTGTGAATGCAAGTAATATCTTGCACCTCCTCTTATTTTTCAATCAATGTTTATAATATTTTTTCCTGCAATGTTCAGTTAAAAAGTGAAGGATACAAGATTGTCATGTTTTGTGTCATGTTATTTTGTGATTTTTCCAGATTTACTATAAAGTGTTTTTGATAAATTTGTATTCCTTCAAATCTATTTGTTTATACTCATTATTTTTAAAAGTGTCCACATTGCTCACTTTCAATTGAGTGTTTGTCTTTATACTATGTATCTTTTTTGTGTGTCATGTCTATTCATTGTACAATGATTAAACTGTAAGAAAGATTTTTTTACATTCCAAGAATGGATTAATGTCATAATGGTTTATGCCAACGAAGGCAACTCACAACCAGCCACCACACAACAGTTTTTTGTGACAACCATCCAGAATGGCCATAGTCAAGTCACAGCACCACTTGTAAAATTATGGAAAAATTCTTTCAACTTGGTAGTATGGCTGATTGATTTCATTCAGGAAGGCCACAAAAGGCTTCTGATGAAATTCATAAGGAAGATACTGTTGCTGTAAATATCCTCTGCAGCCCATATGCAAACTTGCTCATGAAGTGAGTGTGTTACATATGAGTGTAGCCAGGATTTTGGAGATGAATAAATTCTATCCATACCAGCAACAAATTCACCAAGAACTAGGGGACAGTGACTTAGACAGATGAGTTGAATTTTCTAAATGATTCATGACATCAACTTAAGACAATGGCAGTCTGGTGGTATGCATTTGTTTCTCTGATAAGTCATCATTCCTTCTAAACGGTTAAATGAATTAACGTAACTGTTATTATCAGAGTCAGGAGAACTGGTGCATGATGAGTTGTTGTTGTTGATGTTTAGCACAATGCTACACAATGAACCATCTGTGCTACACTCTGTAGACAGTGGGGAATCAACCCTAGATTTTTAGGTTGAAGTAGCAAACAATCATATTCTTGGCCCATTTTATTTTATACAGTAATTTAGATGGAGCAAACATTTAAAAATAGTTCAAGATGAAATTCACCCTGCTATAAATGTCATTTAATCTGGACCTTAAACAGGAAATCTATTTCCAACAGGACAGTGTTCCTCTTTATTATAGTACGAATGTTTGGGATCATCTTATTGATGTATTCCCTAGGTGATGGATTGGCTGATGATGACTGAATAAATCACCACCACATTTTCCTACCTCATCTCACTTGATTTATTCTTGTAAAGGTTCTTATAAACTAAGATCTATAGCACACCAACAAAAGATATTACATAAGATCAGTTCTTACAGTGATTACATTGAATTTAATGAATCTGATGTTCAGTAGCTGTTATAAACTACATTTAAAATGTAGATTAGGTGTTAAATGTTTACATAATACCATAGAATAAGTCAAATGTATACATAAAATAGAGAGGCACCCAGTAGAGTTCATACCTCCATCACACAGTTTTGATCATATTTGGCTCTCAAAAAATATGAAAATGTGCCTGTTTGTTATCAACATACATAGATTATTTTTGGGAGACAATGAGGAAGAATATTCTACTTATGTCCACCAAGTTTCATCTTATAATTTTTGACTGAGCAAATATAGTGTGAAAAATTGGTCCCTATGTTAACAGATAGGGATTTTTTTCTGACCTTGCTGTGCCTTTGACCCTCAAAAAACTAATCACTTCTAAGTTGGGTCATATTCCAAATGTATAACAACGTTCATCCAAATCCATTCAGCCATTTTCTTGCTGACAAACACACACACACATAGAGGTGAAACAAACACTTTCAATCAACCTTCCATTAACAAAATATACTCCAAAACTCTCAACTAAGGTCTTAGAAAAAAACTGTTTGGTGTGAATTCTGTTACACTCAGTATGTATATATGTATTTTTCTATATTCATTTGTACCTATATATACATAAATCAATTAAAGACAACAAACAAGCAACATACCAATATATATGTGTACCTAATACCAGCTTGGTTTATATAACATGAACATTCTAATAGCATAAAAATCTATTATAAGAAACATTTTCTATTTTTTCCCCCTACACATTTGAGTCAGATTAGAATTGGTATTTACATGACATATGACACATAGGTACAGTCAGAAAGAAACTGCTGAATAGATCTACTATCATAGATCTAGCAAAATTGGTAAACTGAGACTACCTTTAGAGAACAGTTTAACAACCACAAATTCCCTGTCTAGACTGAAAAAAAAAATTCCCTGTTGCCCTGCACTTTAATTGGGCTGACCACTCCATTAATAACATGATTTTACGTGGTAATAAAACACTTAAATCAAATGCCAACAAATAGATAAAAAGGCCTAATGGATCAGCATTTCAAACACTGTCACCATGTATGTTATAAGCCTAAACCCCGGTATCAACGATCTTCGTCTTTTAATCCAAGACCTTTCTGGAAAATCTTAGAAAATTCTGTTTTGAAACAAATTTCTCTGTTATTGCATTAATAACATTTTTAACTACTATTAAAAAAATCTTTGTGTTGTAAGTTATAAATTTCTTACACTGAAAATGTATTTCAGATAGATACCTCCCCCTCAGATAATAGCTTTTCTCATTCAGTGCTACCCTTTTTTTGCACTATCTTAATTTTCCACTAGCCTTGATACTCCCTACCTATCCTACGTGGTACAGCTGTACTGTTGCGTGCAAAAAAGCGTGTGACAGCCATCCATCAATAGGAGTTTGGCACACCCTACTGGTGCAGCTGACTTCATCTATAATGTAGAAGCCAATCTTCACTTCTCAATTTGGGTGTACTAGAGTGCAGACGTATCTAATTTTCATTTGTGTTTGCTTAGATTTTTTTGGTTTTCAACTATTATGTGGAACAACTATTTTTGTTGAGTCCAGCTCATTACTTCTCTTCTCTACCTTAACTTGCTACTGTAGATTGATCTGAAATTTCTCACTCTAAGTTTGAAGTGTGAATTCACAATTTCAAGTTATAACAACTACTGCTGTTGTTACTATTGCCACTCAACCTCAACCTGCAATTTCTTAGGCTTTGGGCTCCACCTTTTCTGCTGAGGAGGTTTCGTCTTAGTTTGCTGCAAGTTGGAGTCCATCATGTAGCCTATTGTGTCTCCTGATTAAAGACTAGATATACTATTTCCTGAGGAAACAATTCAGGATGACAAGGTTTTGGATAGCCTGTTTCCACTTCCTTCGTTCACAGTACAATCCTGTGTCACACTGTGGATGCTCCCAGACCTTCTTCCACCATCCTTAATATAGTGTCCCAGGTATGTTACATTTTGTCTGTAGCCCCCGTGTCTTACGATTCCTCTTCTTCCCTCCTTCCTCAGATTACCTATCTATTGGAAATACTGGTGGAGGGCTAGTGCAAAATATACCTAGGTGAGAATCCTTTGGAAAGTGTGGGAAGAGAGCTTGTGGAGTCTAAAACCTCAATGTAGAAGGACACACAAGTGGGAGACCACACCACAAGTGAACTGTGTATACCCTTTGCCTGTTGTGAAGATACGTGTCAATAAATCAGGCAGAAAGGATGAAAAATCCATTAAGTAATTGGACATGCCAAATAGTGTAGAGTGGCTAGGACACATCAGACTGTATTTGGTAGATCAACTCCAGTTCAAAACCTGGCAGCACCAGGAATGGAACATCTGAGCCACTGTAGGAGGTAGGTCCCTATTTATCTTCACCTCAAGCCCAGGAAATAGAATGGAAAAAAAGTTGGAACATGAACAGGACTGAGAAGACAATCTGTATCGGAGCTGGAAGGAAGGTAAACAGGAGTGAAAGTGACATCACCTTCAAGGGCTGTCGATGTCTTTAAAAAAAAAAAACTACAACCTAGATACCGGAGAAAATAGATATGGTGAAAAAGAATACATGAAACACCGAGGGAAAAGATATTCAACTGATGATAAGCACAGATAAAAAGGAGCAAAAAACTGGATTTCAAGGAAAGTTGGTATAAGGAACAGGTAGCTAAGGGTTCAAAAGGAGGTTGGGTTAGGGCATGGAGAACCACACTCAGGTCTTAATCTGGAAGAAGTGTAGGACAAGGTGGACAAGGAGATCAAAGGAGTGAAACAAGAGAGAGAGGACAGGATAGGAAACAACTCTAGGGGAATGGGAAAAAATTGGAAGGTATTGGATCAGGCTGCCTAATAACTAGTAATGGTAGACACAGAAGAACCACTGTCGAACAGTCAGGTAAAGAATTTGGAGACATGAGGAACATTAGGATGGGAAGGGAGGTAACCATGGTGCAGAAACCAACTATTTTCTCTGATAAACCAATAAGAAGGAAGGATGGACCAAAGGGGAGAGAAGGGATGCTACACATGTGGAGAATCCAAACCACTTCACAAGAGACCAGACAAATGCCATGCATGAAGCCAGAGTGTGGTGATGGCAGGATGACACACAGATGACCAAGATTGCTGGAGAAGAGAGCTGGAAAGTGGAAGTGGTAACAGAGGGGATAACTGAAGGAAGACTGGAAACCATGGTTGAGAAGGTCAGAAAGGGGCAATAAGAAGGAATCAACACACAGGGATAAAATCCAAAGTAGGAGGTTGATAAGAGGATAGGTATAAAGGTTCGACTAATTCTGACTGAAAGCATTCTATCCCCAAAGTCAAAGGATGTGGAACCGGGAACCAGAAGAGAGGTAGTTTGGAATTGAGGTGGGTGGCAAGCGCATCCAGAAGTGGAGTATCCCACTGTGTGCACAACCCCCAAAACACCTGGGGATTGAGCCAATGAGAAATCTGATTGTAGGAGAAAGAGGAGGGCAAGATAAAAGAACAGGAGCAGGCTAGGGCTGTGAAAGAGAAGAGATCAAGGAGGAAAAGGAGAAGTGTTAACTAGCAGCCTCCACCCTGGATGCCAAAGACACAGGAAGAACTCCAAAGACCAACTGGCATAAAAACAGAGTCACATGAAGGTCACACAAATAAGAAGTGGGGAAGGCACACATGAGCTAAAAGCATGTCCATACCCAGGAGATCCCAATAACAGAGAAGTCATGTGTGTAGGGAAAAGGTAGAGGAAGACAAGTGCACCAATGTGGAAAACAGGAAGGAGCAAGTATTTATCAAAAACCACTCAGGGGAATAGTGGATAGCCTAAGATAGGAGATGGATAGAGGAAAGGTAATGCAGGAGGGAAAACAGGAAGGAGCAAGTATCCATCAAAAACTCCTCAGGGGAATAGTGGATAGCTTAAGATAGGAGATGGATAGAGGAAAGGTAATGCAGGAGAGTGGCAGGGTCAAATGGAGATGGAAAATTGGGCATGGGAAAAATCTTACAGTAGTATCAGGGTCAGATCCCCATACCTGAATCAAAGACATTAAGTTCTGTGAGTCTAGAAATGGAAAATCCAAATGATGATACTCTAATACAAAGCAATAATAGGCATGAAAGGAATGAGGCATGCTGATCCCAGAATGTAATTGTGCTGTAAACCTATCAACATGGGCCCTGATATCTGGAGAGAGTGGGAAAACAAGGTAATCCAAGGAAGGAGCACCATGCAGGAGGGAAGAAGAGGAATCATAAGACATACGGGATACAGACAAAATGTAACATACCTAGGAAACCATAGTGAGGAAGGTAGAAGAAAGTCTGGGAGCATCCACAGTGGGACTCAGGATTGCAATGTGAAGGAAGGATGTGAGAAAAGGCTATCCAAATCCTCGTCTTCCTGAATTGCTTCCCCAGGAAATAGTATATCTAGTCTTTAATCAGGAGACACAACAGGCTTCAATATGGACTCCAACTTGCAGCAAACTAAGACGAAACCTCCTCAGCAGAAAAGGTGGAGCCCAAAGCCTGAGAAATTGCAGGTTGAGGTTGAATGGCAATAGTAACAACAGCAGTAGTTGTTATAACTTGAAATTGTGAATTCGCACTTCAAATTTAGAGTGAGAAATTTCGGATCAATCTACAGTAGTAAGTTAAGGTAGAGAAGATAAGTAATAAACTGGAAACAACAAAAATAGTTGTTCCATACTATAGTTGAAAACCAAAAAAATCAAAGCAAACACAAATGAAAATTAGTATCATTAAAAATTTTTGTTGAAAAGTCTTCCAATTGTTCTGGATATTACATCTTGAATAAAACATATTCCTGTAAACTATTCTTATTTTAAACTTCTCTTTCGCTTTGTTTTTATCATTGACACATCATATACACAAGTAATATTATTTCACAATTTAGGTCCCTCTGTTAGAGAAGCATGAATTCTCACTTCTGGTATAATAACCATGTAACTGATTAACATGTTTACAATGTAATTTGCCATTTGCCCATGATGAAGGAAAGTCCTCAAGTTATTGGGTTTCTTTTCTGATGAAAAAATTGTTTTGTTGATTCTGTATGCTTTGGAATATTGTGTGTTTATTTGCTATGACAGAATATACAAAAATAAAAATTTTTTTGTAGTACTCACCTTTTGCTTGACAGCAACACCCACAACCTGGGAAGTTATTAAATAATTTCATTAAAGAAAATACTAAAAACTACAAGGAACCAAATGTTATAACAACAGACCTAGTATACACATGTTTAAATGGTATTTGAACAGACATGCAACAACTCTTTAAAAATAAACACTTGAAATACTATATTAATTTCTGAAAGAATTGTAGCATTTTGGCAAATTAGTTAATTTAGAATGATAATATAAAGTACTGGATACCAAAGAACTTATGAGATTCCAGTCAGGTTTCAAGAATTTAAACTGAACTATTCATAAGTTGTTCTAGGGTTGGGCTTGAAAAAGTTCAACTGACTATTCTCCAGGATAGATTCCAAGATATTTACTTGATTGTTTCCAGCTTATTCTAGCCACCAGATTTCATTACATTTGATTCCTTCAGACGTTTGTGAGATTACACTATAAGATGTTCCTTAATGTTTAAAGTGTAATGAATGGATTGTATTTGACACATGCTTAAAATGCTTCCAATTTAATGCACAGAAAAACTTAAAGACATTTACTTCAGTATTTCCAAATACATTCAGGACATTAAATTTCAACATATTTAAATTCAGCTTAACATTACATACAGTTGCCATTAAAGTGTGAATGGACTAAAATAAAGTTGCAGCTAAATCTTTTTAATGTTCTAACATATGTCCATGTATAGATGCCATTTCAGTTCGAAAAACTAATTATATGTCCTCAAAGACTACATGGGCCTTGATTGCTATCATAATGTGTGCTTTATTGTGGGTGTGCATTTTGTTAAAAAAAAATCAAGCATAACATCTCCATCTACACATTTTATTATGTTTACTTATACATTTCTTGTTACTGCACTAGATACATATTTTAGCCCTTATATATTTCAGTAAATGTCAGTTTAACTTGAATATTAAAGAAAAAAATTATAAAATAGCTTGGAATACAGTTTTGTGAATCTTTCTCATATAAGTTTAATCACTAAAACCAACATTACTGGGCATGGTCAGTAATCTTTACATTTCACTGAATGAGCTCTGACTCAACAACAATCAGTGTTGCAAGCGAAAGTAAAATGGAGGTAAAATACAAAACGTATAGATTCTTTTTATTAACTCAAAATTGGAAAACTGTAAATATGTTTACTGCTCTCCATACCTTTTGTTTTATAATAGTGATTGCTTAAAGATTTCATTTTTTTAATTACCAAGTGGTGAAAAGTTTAATATTAACATTTAATGGCATGCCAAAAGTCAAGCCTATGCCAAATTATTCAAGTAGAATACAGAAAAAATAAGTTCAACATAGGCATAATAAAACAGCTACTTATTCAATAAGAAATATTAGATATTACAGTACCAAAAACTTTGAATATGCTGAATAAAAACAATTAAAATAATCATATTATTTTCTCTCAAACACAATAAATTTATATTAACCAGAATAGTAAGTTTAAATTTTCACTATGACAAAGTAAAGTGGAAAAACTTGAAATTCCACTATACTCTTGTTTCACAGACACTAGAACCTAGTTAAAACCACTTATCATTGTAATTGCAGACTTATTTCAAAACCTTAACACAAAATGCTTTAAACTGATTCTTATTTCTGGTTGAAAACCCTACAGAAAGTAAGATCCTAACTAGAAATATCTACCTGTGAATGAATTATAGTGGACAGGACTGTGATATGATTTACCTGTGGGTGAATTACGGTAGAAAGGACCATGTTATGATTTTTTATGGTTCAAATGCTGAAAACCAGTGAAATAATAGAAAAAAAAAAAGTTAAAACTGTTATAAAAACAAGTTAATGGCAGTTAATTTGTGTTATGATTTGCTATGATTGAGTGAATTGTAGTAGACGAGACTGTGTTATGATTTAACTGTGAATGAACTGTAGTGGACAGGATTGTGTTGTGATTTAACTGTGAATTACAGTGGGTAGGACTGTTATGATTTAATTTGGAGCAAATTATAGTAGACAAAACTGTGTTATGGTTTGCTTGTGAGTGAATTGTAATGGATAGGTTAATGTGTTATGATTTGGTAGAGAGTGAATTGTAGTAGACAGGACTATGTTATAATTTAAGTGTGAGTGAATTATAGTGGATGGGGGCTGTTATGATTTACTTGAGAGTGAATTGTAGTGGACAGGACTGTTATAATTTAAGTGTGAGTGAATTATAATGGACAGGACTGTGTTGTGGTTTGTTTCTTTCTTGTTATAGAACAAAGGCTGACATGCAGGAGAACAAAACTTTTGGGTTCTAACAACTAGGGGTTTAAATAGTTACTAAAAGTAGAAAGATGGTTTCATGAGAGAGAGGGAGAGAAAAAAAAACTAGCATTCTTTAATCCAAACAATAAATTATTTTTATCTATCTTTATAAAAAATGTTTGTTTAAACATTTCTATATAATCAAATCAAGATATTAAGCAAGTTATAATAGCTGCATTATTTGAACTGTATACAAGTCTCTGAAATGTTTGTCTTGTTTTTTAAATGTAAATTATTGATTAAGAATATCTGACCTAAAGTTAGCTAACTATATAAATACAAAGTAAAATAATTTAAAATAATATATACACAATGAAGAAAATTTTGCATAACAAATTGACTAGAAATACCGAGTGTTATAAATCAATACACCAAAGAACAAAAACATAATAATTAGATTGCACTGAATAATTACTTGGGTATTTTTGCTGTTAATGATATTTTAAGTTGTCATCCTTATAATATCACACCAGATTCTGCCAGCTTAGGAGACAGAAAATAATTTAAAATCCACACATACACTAGCAATGCAAAATAACTTTTACAGCTGCAGTTTTAATTACAAAATTATTTCACTCTATAAACAGTAACACTGGCTAAAACTAACAATGAAAAAAACAGTATTTCTAACTATTCACAAAAATAATGTGTTACATGTACACATAATAATAATTATAGTAATTAATTATACTTCTCATAAGACATTGGTATTAGACCTATTATATTTTTCAACATTACATTCTTTATTTAGTATCTTAGGGTTTTAAAAAACAAAAATGTATAATAGTATTTCAATGACACTATGTCCACTACATCCAATGCAGATGACATCTTTCACTCAATATAGAGCTCATCAGTCTGGTTGGGACACAACAAACACAGCGGTGGTTGAAACACCATTTATATAAACCATTTGTTACAACAACAATTGCTATGGTGTGAACTCTTTTTCTAAGCTGGCAAAGCATGATTATAATTAATTATACTTGTCATGAGACATTAGTATTAGGTCTATTAAATCTTTCAATACTACATTTTTAATCTGGATTATCAGGGTTCTAGGAGAAGAAGTGTATAATAATATTTCAACCATACCATGTTTGCCATATGCATTGTTGATGATGCATAGTTGTCAGTGTCATTGGAATACTATTTTACACTTTTTCTTCTTGAAAAACCCTAAGGGAGTGAATTCATATTATGCTTTGCCAGCTTAGAAAAGGCATTCATACCATAACTATAATAATTGCAAGAATTATGCATGGACTAAATAAAACCCGAAACATAATGATACAGCTTTCCTAAATATAAACTAGAATGATTCAAAACATACCTATTAATTCTGAAATTAAATTGTAAATAACAAATGTACACAAATCCTTACTGAACTAAATGCACCATGTAGTGAACTTACTTAGTATATATATTTAAAAGTTGTTGCTTTTGTCGAAAAACAAAACAAGTAACAAAAATTGGTAATATATTTACATCATATGCTACATAATAAATATTCTTTAACATGCCATCTAAATATACATTCAAATTTACATTAAAGACAGGGTATGTACTATAAGCAATCTGAGTATTTATAAATTTCAATTTTAACAAAAGATATATATCTGGAATTATTTATTTTGCTAAACAGGAAAAAACAATTCATTAAGGAGATTCACTTTATTTATTTATCCCAACAAATTAAAACAATACTCAAATACATCTTCCTTTGCTGTTACTAGATTAAAAAAACCATTATAAGCTACAGGCAATAGCTATTCAATGAGGCTGCTGTGTTTAGTTTTTAACAGAAGTTATAATTTTCCTATACTGAAAATGTATTTCCAACAGGTACTTACCTCCTCTCAGATAAATAGCTATTCTCAATCAGTGCTGCCCTCTATATGTAAAAATATTTGTGCACATGCCACAAGCCTTGACACTCCCACCCATCTGAAATTAATTGATTTCAATGCTTCTCACATGCATATTATCATGCGACAATCCTCCACCAATAAGAGTGTGGCATACTCTCGATGCATGTGACACTCTCTATTCAATTCGACCAAACTATCACTTTGAGTTTAGGCAGAAAATGGAAGTACTGGTTTTCAGTGAGGAGGAAAGGTGGGAAGTGTAAGAAGAGGTAAGTAACTATCGGAAATACATTTTCAGTATAAGAAAATTATACCTTCTGATACATTACATTACCTCTTCTCACATAAATAGCTAGAGTCCCACATTGAACAGGTGGAGGGACTGGTGCAAGGGAAAGAAAGAAAGAAGCATCCAAAGGACACTCCCAAAGAGATCTTTAGTGTTGAAGATCATACATGGAAGACCGCACCATTTCTGTACCAGGTATACGCTTTGCCCAGTGTGGAAAAAGGTGTTGCAGATATGGGCAGAAATAGGGAGTAGCACATCCAACAGGGAGAGAACTGTGGATAGTGATCCAAACCACTCTATTCAAGAATCTCAATCCCATAATACATAAATGTGGGTGAGAGTAAAAGGATGTGCCTGCAGATGTAGTGTGGCTAAGGCACGACAGACCGTACATGGCAAGTCAAAACCCAGGCTACCAGAAACCAACATCTACGCTGGTGTAGAATGAGGATCATACCATTGGTAAGTCAGCTACAATCCAAAACCTAGTCATCTGGTGGGGGTAGGAAAGAGGATCATACTGTCTTCATCTCAAGTTCATGAGACCAGAAGGAATCTCGTACCCCCCC